GAATTCACAGAGCTTTTACTTACTTAGTCAACTTGCTGGCTTAGGCATCGGAGGGGTTTCCAGCACACACCTGCCGGCTAGCTCACGTTTGTGATTTCAAATATTACAACGACATTTGGAGGAGCATAAGTTTGATCAACAGGATTATACGAGTGAAGATTATTTCATATTCGTACAGACACAAACATAAAGAGAATAAAAAATATATATATTAATATAGAAAATATAATAACACTATTTTTTATTTTTTTTTATAGATACAACTAACAAATTATTGATGAAAATTGATTAAGTACTATCAGAATTAAAATTTTGAAGAGCTCTCAATATGATTATGTTAAAATTACATAATTTATTACATTTTTTTAAATCTAAAAAAAATTTAATATTTACCCAATTACTGTGTTTCGCACTATATTTCATTTTCATTCCACTCATAATGGAGGTAAGTATCTATGTTTTTACATATTAAATGCCCTATTGAATTGTTCTTAGGTACAAAGATGAACGATTACCTTTTGAAGATAAAAAATAAAAAAATAGAACATTTATGTATTTGTATTTGTATTTTTTGTCATTAACATTTGTTTAAACTTCTTAAATGCATTTAATAAATACATCTAAAAAATTTAACACCCACCATAAAAGTTGTGTAATTTTACAAGCATTGATCTATTCAGGAATTAAATAAAAATTTGAAAAAACAAAGAGAAAGGGTAAATAAAATATAATTTCACCCATCATTTTCTTTTCCCTTTCCAAATCACTAATTAAATTCATAATCTAAATTATGTTTTCAATAGATCACACAATGAAATTGTACAAGAGCAACTCTACTTAAACCTTCAAAAATTTGTATGCCAAATTTCTTAGTTGACATATAAGAACTTGACAAATTTGAAAAGAAACACTCCATTCCACTGTGCCAAACTTAATATTTTATTACATTTACTTTGATTTTTTTTAAAAAAAAATATTTTCTTGAACACCTTTTTGAATTCAAAATTGACAATTCGAGTAAAGATTACTCTGATGCATTGAAGAACGTCAGACTAATTGTTTTACTATACTCAAGATACACTGCAATGACTGACTAAATAACTCTATTGTTCATCCATCCTTGATTGCCTATACGAAGCACACTCTACCATATCCTAATCAATCTCTCTCTCTCTCTCTCTCTCTCTCAATTTCTAACAAGCTGGCCACTCTAACTTATCTCAATCTCTCTCCTCTTTAAGGGGTTGTTTGGGATGACCTAAATAAGTGCACTTTTTATCTTTTTTACGAAAAGATGTGCAGAAAAGTAGAGAGATGATATGATGGAAAAAAATAAAAAAATAAAAAGTGTGTACTTATTTAGGATAGCCAAACTTAACCTAAATTTCTAACAAGCAGGTTATAACTGTTGAAATAATAAAAAAAAAGTTGACTAACAATAACCATATATAAAGCAACAAAGAGTAAAATTCTTTATATACTAACACCATGATATAACACAAAGTGTGTTACAAAAATGAGAGAACATTTTCAAATGTTGAGAGTCATCTTCTCTACAATTCATAAAGAAAAAAAATAAATAAAAAATGAATCTCTTCTTTTCTTTTAACTAAAAATATTTTAATTTTTAAATAAATTAATAAAAACAAAGTGAGAGTTAACGAGTTACAGTGTTACTTTTGTCAGTTATTTCCAAAAGGTGAGTTTTGTCATTGATGAGTGCTATTGGGTGTGACTCCCTCATAGTAAAAAAGAGAAAACAAAACCCGTGATTTTGAAATACAAGAAAAGCCCCAAATGTTACTTTTGTCAGTTACTTCCAAAAGGTGAGTTTTGTTGATGAGAGCTATTGGTTGTGACTCCCTCATAGTAAAAAAACAAGAGCAAAATAGAACCCGTGATTTTAAGATAAAAGGAAAGCGCCAAATGTTGAGAGCTCTGAGAGCTCATTGTTTGATTGTTTGTAAAAGAGAAAATGTGAAAAGAAAGTAAATTATAAAAAAATAACATTCCCACCTAAGTCACTTGCCAAGTTTCCCATGACATTACTTTTAGCATGTTGTTATTAGCACCTTATAAATTATTTTGAATTTCTTAATTTTGAATTTTTTTTTATTATAATAACAATCTCAAATAAAATTACTAAAAAAGACATCATTAATTTTGAGACACTCCATCTCACAATTAAACTTACATACCAGCTACATCATGAATTAGGATTTATGAGAGCATCCACTTCCCTCATCACCCATCTATCTTCCCCAAATCCCACCTTTAAAACCTACTCACACGCAAAACCTTGAAAACCCTTTGGCGGAAATAATTCGGCAGTAACAGTGGTAACTATTTGACTACTTACATTTCTCCAGCAATGGCAATATTCTAGCAATAACAGTGGCAACCCTTTGGCGGAATACAGGTTCAAACATTACTTATTTGTTCAGGATAGCGTTCCCGAACAAATAAATAATGTTCGGGAATACAGGTCCGAACATGAAAATTTCTTAACGCATTGAACGATCAAAATTATTAATGCTCGCAGAAGTTTTTATTTTTTCAAGTTCGGGAATACAGACTCGAACATTATTTATTTGTTCAGGAAGGCATTCCTCCCAAACAAATAAGTAATGTTTGAGAATAGAGGTCCGAACATAAAAATTTCTTAACACATTGAATGGTCAAAATTATTAACTCTTGAAGAATTTTTAATTTTTTCAAGTTCGGAAATGCCGGTACGAACATGGAAATTTCTTGACACATTGAATGGTCAAAATTTTTAACACTTGCAGAAGTTATCGGAAATAACCCAAATCCATTATCAGGTTCAAAAGTTATTTTTTCATCGCGTAGCTTTGATAATATTGTTGCGTAGTTCTCTACTGAACTCACAATTTTATAATATTTACCAACAAAACCAACTATTATAATTTTTTTTATGTAAGAGAAGAAATTATTACGAGAAAACTAAGAAATTATATATATATATAGAGAGAGAGAGAGAGAGCATACCAACTGTGACAATTAATGGTGGATAAGGTAGTAGAGAGAGTAATCACATTGGCTCTTCTTCTTTTTGGTGAGTTTTGTTAGGGTTTTTTGGAAGATGGATTTTTTTGGGGTGTGGGGGATGTGCATTCAATGGGTGTAATGTTTTCATAATGATAATTTTGGTATTATTTGAAGGGAGAAATTTTTTTTTTTAAGGGTTTCAAAAATTATACATGGATGACCAAAGAAATAGAGAGTTCAAAATATTTCATGGAGTACCACTCTACTTTTATTGTTATTTTGTTTTAGCAAATATGTGTTTTTCAATCATGCTACGCAACTCGAAAAACTAGGGCTCGAATGGCCCGATTTTTTTTTTCTTTTTCCTTTCCCTTCCTTACCTTATACACAGTTTCTTCTCTCTCTCTCTCTCTCTCTCTCTCTCTCTCAAACATGACCAAAATGAAGTTCCAAAACCAAATCAATTGATATGTGTGTGTATATATACAAATCAAAACCAAATCAAAATAAAAAAAAACAAACCCACAAACAACCCACAGCATCTATGTATACAAATCAAAACCAAATCAAAATAAAAAACAAACCCACAAATCAAAACCAAATCAGAGACAGACCTCTGTGTGTATACACACAGATCTGTGTATATGTATACACACATAGATCTGTTGAGAAAAGAGGGAGGAAGAGACCCACCGCCGTGCCATCACTGTTGTGTCATCGCCTCCATCGCGTCGCCATCGCCTCTCTTCTCTTTTCTTTATTCCTTCTCTTTTCTCTCTTCTTCCTGTTTCAGAGAAGAGAGGGAAAAAAAATTCTCCCTGTTTCAAAGAAAAGAGAGGGAAAAAAAAAAACAAAGCAAAACGACGTTGTTTTTCAATTTGGGCAAATCAAGCCTTGAAAATTTCGAGCTACCAAGCTTTATTCTGTGTTTTTAGATGGAAGATGGGACCACCATCTTTCAAATACAGAAGATGAAAGTCAAATAGTAAAGAAACAGTCAGCCAAGGGGGAGCCACGTTACATAGATAAAGTATATCTATTTATATAATAAGACAAAGTGGTGTTTTGAGAAGTTAATAAAAAGTTAATTTATTTATTTATTTATTTATTTGTGATTTTTTGGTTTTTTTGTATTAAAAAGTTAATCTTTTTTTGTGATTTTTTTGTATTAAAAAAAAAATCAAAAAATTGACTTTTTTAGAAAGTTTCCAAAATACCCAAAAAGATTTTTTTAAATGTCTAAAATATATTAGAGATATAGGCCTCGTTTGGGAAGTGGCTATTTTAGTAGGCTATTTGGCTTTTTGACTATTTTAGTAGGCTATTTTAGTTTTTGTGTTTGAGAAGATGAGATAAATTTTTAATTGAGTTGGTATATTGAAAAATGTGTTGAAATGATATTTGAAGTTAAAATGGCTAATTTAGCCCTAATCTCACATTTTTCAAAATAAAGACAAAGGGGCAAAAATGTAATTTCCCTACCTGTCACTATGATAGTGGTAGGTTCTGTCACAGTGACAGCTCTGCTGGCCTATATATATATATATATATATATTTTTATTTTTTTTTTTGAAAATGATTTTTGAAAAAGTTTGCAAAAGTGGTTTTTTGGCTAAAATTTTTTTTTAGGCTATAATAGCCTCTTTAGGCACTTCCCAAACAGCGCCATATTTAGGCCTCGTTTGGAAACAGGCTAATTTAGCAATTTTTTAGCTATTTGGCTAAAATATGAGCTGAAAAAAACTAATATGTTTGGGATGACTTTTTGACTTTTTACGAAAATATGTGCAAAAAGTAGAGAGAAAAGAAAATATTTGACTTTTTGGTATGAATTGTTGACTTTTTGACTAATTTAATAACTTTTTAACTTTTTAATTAAAAATAAAGATTTCCAAACGAGGTCTTAAATTTAATTTTAATGATTTAAATTAATTCTAAATATATATCAATGGTTCATATCAATGTTTGCTGCCACTAAATGTATGCCAACCCACCCACGTCTGCCCCTCCCACATTCCCTCTCTATCTCTCTCTCTCACTCTTTGCTCTTCTTCTTGAACAGAACGAAAAAACCTACCCTCTCTATCACAACTGTCCTTCTTCTCACCCTTTGCGTCACCTCCTCTTCATCGACACCAACCCTCTTCCTTCTTCGTCACGCTCCTCTTCATCAACCCTTCAACCCTTCGATTTCAATTTATAGCTCGCAAGGTAAGATTTCAATTTGTCAATTTCCTCCTTCCCTTACAACCCTTCTCGATTTCAGTATTTTCCTTCACCTTTTGCAGACCTTTTGCAGTTTCTTCATTGCAATTTCCTGTGGAATGAAACTGAAATGCCTTGATGTGCTTGAATTCTTCTTTCCTGATATTGTCCTGTGAAGTAAAATTATAAAGGCATTGCAATTTGTGTTGTTTTATTTTATTTAAATTTACAATTGTTCCTCAATGGTTTTGAATCATTAATTTCTGAAATTCCTCGCTCCTATTTCTTTGTTGATTTCATTGTTTTTACCAGTTACCAAACAGAAATTTACGACTGTAGAGCAGGAACTGAACTGATTCTCACCAAGGTAATCTCTTTTTCCTTTCCTTTCTGCTCTGTTTTGTTACCCACAAAAGGTGCAAAATAAGGCAAGTGGTTGACTGACTGGTTTTCAAGCGGCAGAGGCAATAAAGACTCATTACAGAATAGCATCCATTAGTGACTAATTTATACCAAGAATCCAACCTACAAGTGCTGAATTGTTAATTAAAATAGATATAACACAAAAAATATGCATCGGGTTTGTAACAAATTTACCATGAACCTAAGCAGAATTTCTAGGCATTCATCTAGGAGAACATAAATGACAAACATCACCAAGAGATAAACAGCACTAACACCCATATCCTGATGTAGAAAATTGAGAAACATTTATAAAAAAAATTATTGCTCATATCACCCCTCAAAAAGAGTCCCACTAAATATTTTCATATATTTTATTCGGATAACTGACCAACCTCTTTTTGGTATTATGGGTTTTTAATTCTTGGAACTCTAGAAAATGAACACCTCTTCTCGGTAGCAAATTGTTAGAAACCTTTTTTTTTTCTTCAAGTTACTGCCTCACTTCTTAGTGGTTTGTTTGGTTGCTTAGAAATGGTACAAAAATAAAGGAATCTAATTCTAAATAATCTGAACTGCTAACCCCCAAATCTTGACAAAACTTTAGCTTTATGAAACATTCATATATGTGGTTAAACTCCAAAGCACCACAAAATCTAAGGGTCAAATTCATAGCATGTTTGCTCATCATAGTGCTAGCTGTTTGGTAGCTTTCTTTGTACCAACAACAAATTAGTTATGGAGAAATTGTGTCGCAAGTTCGTTGACAATGCTTTAGCAAGTTCCATTGTTTGTTTGTTCAATTGTATTTTTCCCATTGTTGATTATGAAATTGGGTTCAAATCTTGACAAAACTTTAGTTTTATGAAACATTCATATATGTGGTTAAACTCCAAAGCACCACAAAATCTAAGGGTCAAATCCATAGCATGTTTGCTCATCATAATGCTAGCTGTTTGGTAGCTTTTTTTGTACCAACAACAAATTAGTATGGAGAAATTGCTTTAGCAAGTTCCATTGTTTGTTGCTTTAGCAGCATATGAATCTTAATTTATTGCTTAAACCTGCAGGTCTCCATTATTTATTGACGTTTTCATTTGATTCATTGCTTTATTGGTTGATATATTTTCCATTTCGAATAAGATGGCCTCATGCCTTGTGCCTTGATCACACAACAACAAGAGGTAGTGGTCATATAGTCTTTTAAATGCTCATGAATCTATTTTAGTATATTTTCAGAAAAATATGGACAAGACCATTGTAGTCCTCAACGAATCCTAAATCCTAAACCCTCATTGTTATGCTTGTTGTCGTGTATATGTTAAGTTCTAAGGTTATCTTTTATATTATTTAGCAGTCCATAGTTCTTAACACAAGGTGTTGTGGTTAGTTTCATAATTCATAAAATGGAAAGGGAATAAAATTCACATTTCATTTACTTTTGTGTCTTCGATTTTTTGTTTCTTCACAGATAAAGAGACGGTCCTCTGTGCCTTGTGACTTGCTACCAGATTATAAAAATAAAAAAATAAAAAAATCTTCCACAGATCTATATCACTTTATTGTTTGGTGTGTAGAATATTTTTCTCTATATAGTTTTGTGTTTGCTTTATGTATTGAATTTTCTAATTTTTATGTCTTGGCCGATTATAACAAGCTTTAATTTCTGTGACTGCATTAGTTGTTTGGTCTCTCTTGTAGTCACTCTTTGCAAGCTGGATAGATATTTAGAAAGGTATGTTTGCCATCTTCATTCATTATTTGCTTTTTAAATATGCATGTTAGAAATTTTCTAGAGGATTGAGTACATGTTCAGAGCAAAGTACCCTGTTTGTAGGCCCAATGCTATATATATATATATAGGTACTTGACCTATCCTTTTAGTAGTGATAAGCATTACCCTATGACTTATTTTTCTGGAGCTCTATTTTGCAATTGGGAAACATTTAAGAGGACATTGAATGGTAATGTGGCTTCAAAGTGATTAGTATTAACCATTTTAATGTTCTTTTATGTATTTGTTAACCATTGTATGTACCTGATAATTCTGTTCTCAACACTGTCATTGCATAATTGGTTAGACTAATCACCAAGTCTTGCTCATATAAGAATGTCATCTTGCTATTTCACTGATATTTATCATTGTCAATTTAACTCAAAAGATTATGCCCTATGCCCTCATATTTAAAAATTTGGTTGGACTGTTCTTGAATTTTTATTTTGACAAAAAGTGTGTAAATTCGATGTGAGGTCGCAAAATTGATGACAAAGATTAGTCAAAATTTTTATTTGGAACTAAAATTCTCATTTACAAAAGTTTATTCCTTGGAAGTTGGTTATGCTTTATTCTTTCTTGAAAAAATAATCAATAAGTCCTATTTTGCTTTTAATAAAACCATTTAGTCCTATAAATTTTCAATAATACCATTGAAAAATTTATGAATTCACCACTGTATTATTTTCTGTGACTATTGAAGGAATTTTAATAAATTTTTGCCCTCTTGGATTGTCTACCATAAAATAAAATAAAATAAAAAGTCATAGTTTCTAATAATAGAAAATGATCGTTTGATCTGATTGTTAGTTATGTTTTGTTTAATATAATTTTCATAAGTAAAACTGTTTATGAAATTATTATTCATATTAAATGAGAAGGGTAAAATTATAATCAAATTTATAAAGTTGAATTTTGTGAGAGTTGTCTACAATAAAACTTGATAGGAATACTAATATTAAACGCAAAATAGGACTTATCGATAATTTTTCCCTGTTTGGTTTTATAGTTTTAATGTAACTCAGTGAGTTAAACTTTCATTTTTAGATTGTTTCTATATATATGGCTTTTGAATTTTGTTTTGGCCTTCCAAATGCATTGTATGTTTACAAATCTGTCATTTCATGCAATACCTAGCTGTAGTATTTGTTGTTTTGTCTTCTTGTACTAGAACAATCGACTACCACTAAATTCAAATGTGGGCATGTTTTTTAAAATGTATATATATCTATGCATATCATTGCAAGCATGTGTATATGTGCCTACTACCTATGGTCAATTATAAAGTTGTTCGTGTGTCATGTATTGGAGAAAAAAGTTGGTGAATGCAAATCACAAACATATATTTGGCATACCATTCAATTATGAACTTACCTCATGAAACTGTTTTGATTTGTCAATTAGATATCATACTTCATGTAACCAATCAGGATTTTTTGATTTGTCAATGGAAATATAAAGCATACAATTGTTAAACAATTGTTGCTTAAGAGTCTATTTTTATGTCCAGCAATGTTTTTTATTTTTTTAAAGGTCAACATTGAATCATTCATCTTAAAAGCTTTTGCCGATACAAACTTGGAGATTACCTTGGTGAGATAATCAGATCGATTCATTTTAGAAAGTATAGAGATTGCTATGTATCAATTTATTTTAAAAAGTTTTTTAATGTTGGTGTTTTCGGTTCTAAGTTAGTTTTTTTATCAATTCGGTCCATCATTTTATTATACCTTCATATTAGTTATTAACGTAGGAGGTATGTCATGTTAATGATTTCATCCATAACCACTCTTTTCAATTTCTGTTAATATCCATAACACTTGCGTGGTTAGAAATTTGAAGCTTATACATTAGTATTAATGCTTCTACTTCAAGTGCGTTGCTTGAATTTTTGGTAATGATATGTGACGTACTTTTTCTAATTTCATCTTTGGGGTTTGCGTGCTTCCCGCAAGAGTTGTCCATGCGTGTTATGGAGGAATACGACAATGATCTTTGTTTTGTTTTTGCATCTATGTAGCCCACTAAAAAAAAAAAAATCACAAATTATCAATACTTAGCAAATTTTCCTTCAACATGGTATAAGTATTGCATTTTGTTATGCTCATGTTTTTGTACATTGATAACTAATAGGTTCAAATCAAGCAATATAAGATTGCTTGAACCATGGGCATGTTCTTTCGTGCGAAGCGCGACACCTCGCAACTAGTCTAATATATATATGTGTGTGTGTGTGTGTAAGATTTCTGAAGATTTTGTATTAAGGCTTATAAATACCTTAGCTACCTAAGTGTTTTAAGTAAGTGAAATCAAATATTGAGAGTGAAGAATTTCTCTTCCTTCTTTCAATCTCTGTAGCATTTGTGTGATCTCTAATATCAGCAACAATAACATGGCTTTAATTATGATGTTTTTATTCTTTCAATTATTACATGGTTTGTCTTGTGCGACAATCATGCCATACATTGTCCTTATAGATGGTGGATTAATGCCAAGTGCAACCAATAGACGTGCATGGCATGTGTCCATGCTAGATGCAGTTTGTCAGCGGCTAAACATTTCATACGAGTACTCCCACATTGTACATGGATTTGCAGCTTCCATGACACGTGAGGTTGATAAAATCTCTTTGTTTCCAGGGGTTATGGTAGTTGAGGAAGACACACTCGATACTCAACTGCACATGACATGAATGCCTAATTTTCTTGGCCTCGCCACATCCTATGGACTATGTCCCCATGCTGGATATGGTGATAGTATCATAATTGGGTTTGTCGACACGGAGAATTTGGTTGGAGAATGTAGGCTTCCGTGACGAAGGACTGTTGCCCCTTAACAGCAGCAAATGTTGAGGAATTTGCCAAGAATGCAACAATTTCTCTGCCGATGACTGCAACAATAAAATCATTGGTGCCCGTTTCTTTGCCTCTAGAATCAAAACTCTAATCAGTCGGCGAGTCGATGGTGGTGGGGAGTACAGGTCTCCACGAGATACTACAGGCCATGGATCAGCTGTTGCTTCAGTTGCTCTGGAGCTGAGATTTCTAATGTCGGTGTGCTGGGTTTTACATACGGAGATGCACAAGGAATAGCCCCCAAGGCCCGTATTGCGGTCTACAAAGCTGCTTGGAGGAAAATCTGTACTTTAACCGATACTCTTGCTGCAATTGATGTTGCCATCTCTGATGGTGTAGATATCTTGTCAATCTCCATGGGAAAAAGCTCTCACAAGCCATTTTACAATGATGTTTACATGATTAGTGCGTTGAAAGCTGCTCAAAATGACATTTTTGTGACATTCGGGGCGGGGAACATGGGCTCGACACCATCAACAGTAGTCAACTCAGCTCCCTAGGTGACCACTATTGGCTCCAGCACCATTGATAGAACCTATCTTGCAAAGGTCCGACTTGAAAATGGAGAACAAGTCCCCGACAACTCACTTTGTTGTTGTAAATCAGTCACTGATGATGCTTTTTCCCTCCAATTCTATAGCACTTGCACCTATGACAACATACCTTCAGATTCTATCAAGTGTAAAATCTTAATCTGCAATGCGAGCGACATTGCTGCTGATGTCATTGCCTTCACTGTCACAGAGGCCCAATGTGTCGGATATATCCAATTGAATGTGAAGGGGGACGAGGACTTGAGTATTTTTCTTATCTGGAACTTACCTACGGTTTCAATAAGTTATGGGCATTCTGTTGATTTTTTGTTATATATCAGTAGCTCGAAGAATGCAACATCAAGCCTCATTTTTTAATGCAAAATAGTAGTTGGGGAGCATAGGGCCTTGATGATTTCAGGATTTTCTTCGAGGGGCCTAACGCAATTGTCCTCGAAATTCTGAAGCCAGACCTTTTAGCCCCCGGGTAGCTATCATGGCTTCGTGGACAAATGTCAAACATGTTGAATACAATTTCGTCTTAGGCACCTCAATGTTGTGCGCTGTTCTTGCTGGCTTCATAGCGCTTATGCGCAACATTTATTCAGATTGGTCCCCGGCTGCAATTAGATCTGCAATGATGACAACGTCAACGTCACTTGACCACAATAACTGTCCGATATCCAGCAACAATTTTCAACAACTAGGAACTCAGTTGGACTTTGGTGTTGGTCATATTTCCTCATAATTGGCTACAGATCTTGGGCTAATATTTGATATTGATGGTATGGAGTACATAGACTTCTTGTGTACTTTGAATTACTCAGCTTCGCAACTCTACAGAATTGTGGAGGAGCAAGTATTCTGTGAAGAACCAGCTTTTCACCTAGTGTCTTGGCTCAATTATTTATCATTTTTGACCTTTTTAACAAGCTGAGGAGAGCAACGAGACTATGGAGGACCGTGACACACGTGGCCGAGTTAACGGAAACATGCACATTGATAGTGGTTAATTCAAATCCAGATATTATGATTTCTATTGTTCTGAAACAATTGCAATTTACCAGAGCGGGTGAGAAAAAGAGTTATTCGATTGAAATGAGTTTTTTTTTACTCTGATGGACCTAACAGATTATATCTTCATGTTTCTATGGAGGTTCTTGTTGTTGGATATGTAATCTGGGAGAGTTGTCATTATGTTCGGGTTCTTTTTACAGTGTTGTGGTCATTTGAGTAGTTCTTGCAATAAAATAAAATTTTTTACGAATTTCTGCTACTTGAATTATTTTGTTTGTTGAAAGATCGAATCTCAGAATTCAATTAGCAAAAATTTGTAGAAAATTTCATTTTATTGCAAAAACTACTCAAATGACCACACCACTGTAAAGGGAGCTGAACAGAATGATAACAACTCTCCCAGATTACATATCCAATAGCAAGAACCTCCATGGGAACATGAACATCCAATCTATTAGGTCCATTAGAGTAAAAAAGCTCATTTCAATCGAATAACTATTTTTCTCACCTGCCCTGGTAAATTGCAATTGCTTTGGAACAACATAAATCATAATATCCGAATTTGAATTAACCACTGTCAATGTGTATGTTTCCCTTGACTCTGCCACGTGTGTCACGGTCCTCCACAATCTGGCATTCTCCTCAGCTTGTTAAAAATGGTCGAAAATGATGGATAATTGAGCCGAGACACTTGGTGAAAAGCTGGTTCTTCACAGATTACTTGCTCTCCCACAATTTTGTAGAGTTGCGAAGTAGGGTAATTCAAAGTACACAAGAAGTCTATGTACTCTATACCATCAATATCAAAGATTAGCTCAGGATCTGTAGCCAATTGTGGGGAAATATGACCAGCATCAAAGTCCAATTGAGTTCCTAGCTGTTGAAAATTGCTACTGGATATCGAACGGTTACTGTGGTCGAGTGACGTTATCATCATTGTAGATCTAATTATTGCCAGGGACCAATCTGAATGAATGTTGCGCATAAGCGCTGCGAAGCTAGCAACAATAGTGCACGACACTGAGGTGCCTGAGACGAAATTATATTCATCGTGTCTGATATCATTCTCAATCATAGTACGGGGCATGACATTTGTCCACGAAGCCATGATAGCTTCCCCGGGGGCTAAAAGGTCTGGCTTCAGAATTTCGAGGACAATTGTGTTGGGCCCCCCTTGAAGAAAATCCTAAAATCATTAGGGCCTTATGCTCCCCAACTACTGTTTTGCATTAAAAAATGAGGCTTGCTGTTGCATTCTCCGAGCTATTGATATATAACAAAAAATCAACAGAATGCACAGAACTTATTGAAACTGTAGGTAAGTTCCAAATAAGAGGAATACTCAGGTCCTCATACCCCTTCACATTCAATTGGATATATCCGACGCCTTGGGCCTCTGTGATAGTGAAGGCAATGGCATCAGCAGCAATGTCACTCGCATTGTAGATTAAGATTTTACCCTTGATAGAATCTGAAGGTATGTTTTCATAGGTGCAAGTGTTATAGAATTGGAGAGGAAAAGCATCATCAGTGACTGATTTACCACAGTAGAGAGAGTTGTCGGGGACTTGTTCTCCATTTTCGAGTCGGACCTTTGCAGGATAGGTTCTGTCAATAATGCTGGAGCCAATAGTGGTCACCCAGGGAGCCGAGTTAACTATTGTTGATGGTGTCAGGCCCATGTTCCCTGCGCTGAATGTCACAAAAATGTCGTTTTGAGCAGTTTTCAACGTACTAATCATGTAAACATCATTGTAAAATGGCTTGGGGGAGTTGTTTCCCATGGAGACTGACAAGATATCTACACCATCAAAGATGGCAGCATCAATTGCAGCAAGAGTATCGGTTAAAGTATAGATCTTCCACCAGCAAGCTTTGTAGACCGCAATACGGGCCTTGGGGACTATTCCTTGTGCATCTCCGTATGCAAAATTAGCACATTTTTAAAGTAATTAATTTTTTTGGAATTAATTTTTATATGGAATAATCGTTTTTATCTTTCAATTGGAAATACCTTGTGTATGTTTCAATTGAGTTATATAAATTGAATTTAAAATATTCTAAAGAAAGCATTGGTGGAGGATCCTTGATGCCTTAGCACCCTTTTTATAATCACCTTATCTTATCTTTTAATTAATTATTTTTCTCAAATTATTCAACCATTTCAAAAATTCAAAATCATATTTTTCTTTACTTTATTTGAGTGGTCAGTAATTATTTTGAACAAATTGGTCCTTGTGGATTTGACTTCAGACTCACCGAGTTATACTACTTCGCGACATCCTGCACTTGGGATTGCAATATAAAAGTCGCAACAGGTTTTTGGCACCGTTGCCGGGGATCTGCATCATTGTTTGAAAAAGTACCAAGGAAGTTTGCATTGCAATCTCTTGCAATTTTGGTAAACTCGTTCCACTTTTTTTTTTTTTTTTTTTTTTTTTTTTTTTTTATAAGAAGGAAATGATTTTCTTTATAAAAAAAGTTCCCCTTTTTTTTTTTTTTTTTGATTTTATTTTTGTTAATAAGTAGGAATTGATTTTCTTTATAAAAAAAAAAAGAAAAGAAAAAAAAGTAGTGCTATTGTTGCGTCGGAACAGTGGGGTAGTGTTTTTGCTGGTGTGATTGTGATAATTTTTGTTTATTTATTTGTTTTTTTTTTTTCCCCTATTACAGTTAGTCACTGTTTTGTTACTTTAAAAAAAAAAAAAAAAAAAAGTTTGCTTATGTTGCAGGCATATTTGGTATCTTGGTCGGTTGGTAAGCATTTATTTTGATTTAGATACATTGTTTGGTAATCTCTTTGAGTCTGAATTTAATTTATTTGTACACCCTCACACCTGACACCATGGCAAATAATGGTGGTAATGAAAATCAAATTCAAATGGCCCAACCTGTTTGAACCTTGCGTGATTATTTGCAACCCGTCTTGTATTATTTTTCCTCCAAATGCAAATAATTTTAATTTTAAACCGGGTATGATTGCGTTACTTCCTAATTTCATGGCCTTGACTCTGAAAATCCTTACTTGCATATTAAAGAATTTTGAGTACTTTGATTTACTAGCAGAGAATGCCTAATCTTGGGATACCACTGATACTGTAGGACATTCTAGTAAAACCAAGCCTTCTTCTACAGTTTCTGGTGGTGGTAAGTTCCAACTAAAAGATGAAGATGATGTAAGTGCAAGATATCTACTTCTACCAGAAAAGTAGAGGCCATGGAATTAAGGAAAGTTCATGAAATCACAACTGTGCCTAAAAGAGAAAATATTTGTGACATTTGCGAGACCGTGGGACACCTAACACATGAATGTCCAACTATTCCAGCTTTTAAGGACGTGTTGCATGATCAAGCAAATGCCGTAAACACTTTTAAAAAGCCTGTTTCATCCCTCTATTTTGAGACTTACAATCCAGGATGGAGGAATCACCCAAATTTTAGTTGGAGTAATAATGTTGCACTACCTCCACAACCTGTAGGACATTCTAATTTTGTTCCATGTGCTCCCCTACCAAAGAATAACCCTTGAGGATACATTGCAACAATTCATGGACAGTGATAAATAATCAGACATCTCAGGCAATAAATGACATTAAGAACACTCTCACCAAATTGACATATTCATTGAGCATTCAAGAAAAAGGTAAATTTCCTGCTCAAGCTCAACCCAACCCACAAGGACAATATGGTGTGAGTGATTCTTTATCTTCTAACACTCAGCTTGAACATGTCAAACCTATTACTACACTTCGCATTGGAAAAATTATTGATAAAACAATTCCTATGAAGGCCCCAAAGCCTAAGGATATTTCAAAATCAAAGAGTGGTGATGATATTGACAAGTCCAAGCCAAGTGAAGAAATGAGATGTCCGATTCCTGCTCCTTTTCCTCAAAGATTGCAGCCCCCTCAGAAATCAAATCAAAATGTTGAAATTTTTGAACTTTTCAAGCAAGTCAAAATTAACATCCCCCTATTGGATGCAATAAAACAAATCCCGTCATATGTCAAATTTTTGAAAGATTTGTGTACAGTCAAGCGAAAGCTTAATGTACAAAAGAAAGCCTGTTTGACAGAACAAGTGCAATAACTCAGCAAACTTCCCCACCAAAGTTTAAGGATCTAGGATGCCCCACAATCTCGTGTGATTGGCAACTATAGGATAGAGCAAGCTTTGCTTGACCTTGGGGCAAGTGTGAACCTTTTACCATATACAGTTTATGAACAGTTAGGTCTTGGAGAGCTTAAACCGACTACCATTACACTCCAACTTGCAAACCGTTCTGTGAAAATACCAAGGGGAATTGTGGAAGATATGTTGGTTCAAATAGATAACTTCTATTTTCCTGTCGACTTTATTGTATTGGACACACATCCTGCTTTGCATACACACACACAAATTCCTGTCATTTTAGGTCATCCATTCCTTGCAACTTCCAATGCTTTGATTAATTGTAGAAATGGTGTGGTGAAATTGTCTTTTGGTAATGACTTTGGAGTTAAATATTTTCAACATTTGCAAACAACCAAGGGATAGTGATGAGATTGAGGAAGTGAACTTGATTGATACATTTGTTGAAAAGCATTTCAATAACTCCTATTTTTCTGATCCACTTGAATCTTGCTTAGTTAATTCTTGTGATTTTGATGAAGATTCAAAAATTGCACACATTTATTCTTTATTGGAATCTGCACAAGAATTGAAAGACTACAAGTGGAAGCCAAAGTTTGAGCAGTTGCCAACTTCTGTGAGTAAGCCTTTGCCATCAAGTGAACAAGTACCAAAATTTGAGTTGAAACCTTTGCCTACAGAGTTGAAGTATGCATTTTTAGGACCTGAGGACACATATCCAGTGGTAATATCTTCTAAATTTGACTCTGTGCAATAAGGTAAATTACTCAATGTTTTGAGACAACATAAAGGGGCAATAGGATGGACCATTGCAGACATTAAGGGAATTAGTCCCTTGGTGTGCACTCACAGAATTTATTTGGAAGAAAATGCCAAACCTTCGAGAGAGATGCAACGTAGGTTGAATCCTACAATGAAAGATATTGTGAGAGGAGAGGTCCTTAAGCTATTAGATGTGGGGATCATTTATCCCATAACTGATAGTAAATGGGTATGTCCCACACAAGTAGTACCCAAGAAGTCTAGAATAACTGTGGTAAAAAAATGAGAACAATGAGATGATTCCAACTCGTGTTGTTACAGGTTGGCGTATGTGCATTGACTATAGAAAATTAAATTCCATGACTAGGAAAGACCATTTCCCTTTGGCATTTTTGGACCAACTTTTAGAAAGGGTAACTGGACATGCATTTTATTGTTTCCTAGATGGGTACTCGGGATATTACCAAATTGAAATTTCATTAGAGGACGAATAAATGACCACTTTTACATGTCCTTTTGGTACCTTTGCCTTTCAAAGAAAGCCATTTGGATTATGTAACGCTCCAGCCACTTTTCAAAGGTGCATGCTGAGTATTTTTAGTGAAATGGTGGAGCAATTTTTAGAAATTTTTATGGATGATTTTTCTGTATTTGGAGTTTCTTTTGATGATTGTTTAACAAATTTACAGAAAGTTTTGTCCAAATGTGAAGAAAAGAACCTTGTGTTAAATTGGGAGAAGTGTCAATTCATGGTTACTTCTGGGATTGTACTTTTCCCATTGTTTCTTCTAAAGGAATTGAGGTAGATAAATTTAAAATTGAGTTAATTGCAAATCTATCTACCCCCAAGACTGTTAAAGATGTTAGATCATTCTTAGGACATGCAGGTTTTTATAGGAGATTCATTAAGGATTTTAGTACCATATCTAGAC